TGGTGCAGCGGTAGAAGGTCACCAGCAATTTTTCATTCAGTTGTTGTTTCCTGAGAAGTCTCAGGTAGTATAATCTCTTTCTGGGCCCTTTTGACCAGCGCTGCAATATGAGCGCAACAGGTCAGGTCCTCTTTTATGATAACACTCGGAAACTTAAAACTGGCCACTTGCTCCACTCGGTCTCCATTGATAAGCAAGGGCTGGATGTCTGATCTATTCCTTCTACAGTCCATTATAAGCTCCTTGGACTTGTTTGTGTTAAGGACCAAGTTATTGTCTTCTTTGAACCTTGATTGAAAGAAACCATTTCTTCCCACAGTTGAGGTCGAAAAGACCATGAAGATTGGGGGTGAAAAAAAAAATCCCTCCGATTCTTCTTTGTAGCCTCTGTAGAGGCTATTGAGCTCTACAGAGCAGCAAACGGAGGCTCGTCTGTGGCTTAATCGGCGCCTGATTGACTGCTGAGCTAGTGCCTGGGGGAAAGCTCCATTTCTTCGCGCCTTTTTTCTCCTTTCAAGTAAAGCCTCGGCTGCGTCTAAGCGCTTCCAAAATGGCGGACGCCATTCGAAGCAATCAACGGCAACTGTCGTCCACTTGAATGTGCTGTTGTGGGCCTGACCACCTCAGACAGACGAACAAAAAACCCCACTGTTTTGTTGTCTGGCAGCAGAGTCACACACACACACAGATACACACACTGTGGTGCCTGGGTGTGCCCTTGTCTCTGCAGTTCTCCGATAATCCTTCATAAGAGATCCAATTGGATCATTTCCCCACCCCCCCTCTGGCAGTGTGTTGGGTCCTTGCTGGCCAGTCAGTGCAGTGAAACAGCATTGGGAATCGTTGTGTTACCTGATTTTCAAACATGGATACGTACCGTTCTGTGTTAATTGAAAATATTTGGCGGCTCAGCCTTCGTTTTAGAAAGATAAATGAATCCCCAGCAGGGTGGACTTGATTTAAATCGAGTTGATTTAAATCGCAATTTAGATCATGATTTAAATCGCTAGTAAAAAGGCTTGATTTAAATCAACGCGATTTAAATCATAATTTTTAAAGAGCAACTGTCATCTCTGCTACTCCTTTGACCCACTGTTGACTCACCGATAGTCCCAGTGTTGCAGAATATACAGCCTCATGCTACATAACTAAGCTCCATTTCATGCTGAGTAAATTAAATTATTTATGTATCTTAAGTAGAAAACTATCTTACGATAGATTTTTACCCCCAAAGTTTTTTATTAAAATAAATTCGATAAAAATAAAAAAAAATCCGATTTAAATCAAAAAAATCCGATTTAATCAAAAAAATCTGATTTTTTTTGATTTTTTTAAAAAGATCATTGATTTTTATCCACCCTGATCCCCAGCCGTCTTTACCACAAGGAATGGTAGTCCTCGTGCGTGCATGCTTGCTTCGCGCGCGCGCGCCTCTGTGCATGTGCCCAGCCTCGAAAACGTGGCTAAATAGGATGGCATTACTTCTGGGCAGACCCACCTGAAGTCTCCGCTACTGATTCGCCCGAACTGGTACGAACCGGCTGAATACCACCTCTGTTATTGTGCCTTCTAGGTTGATGTATTTTGTCTTCTTTTTCCCATAATTTTATTTGTATGAGGGCCCCTTTTGGTACCTTACGTCAGGGAAAAACAAGAGTCTAAAGTCACCCTATAAGCTTTGCAGCTTCAGACTTCTCTATGGACAGGTTGTCTGCTCGTTTAGTGACTTTTCAGAGCTACAACAGCGCTGAAAAAAGGGACTTTAGACTGCTTTCCTCACTTAGGACCCTTGCACCGTCCCCATGGTTACATGATCAAAATTCAGCTGCTTTGCAACTGACTCGTATATATGACGGTTGCTGTGTCTCAGGGTCACGGGATCCCCTTTTTTGCGACCTTCTGAGAAGCAAAGTCAATGGGGAAGCCAGGTTCACTTAACAGTCGTGTTACTAACTTAGCTTCTGCAGCAGCGGTGGGTTTCACATGTTGCTAGTGGTTTGCTGTGCATGTGCACGCTTGCATCATGCTTGCACGCACCTTCCATCCATGTGCCCGGTCTAAATTGAATGGCTTAGAGCCGGGGTGGGTAGGCGGGATCTCACCCGCGATCTCCGCTACCGATTCACCTGAACTGGTACGAACTGGTTGAATACCACCTCTGTTCTGCAGTTATTCACTGCCTAAATAGGACAACATAGAGATGGGGTGGGTGGGGCACCTGCGATCTCCGCTACCAGTTCGCCCGAACCGATACGAACCGGCTGAATACCACCTCTGTTCTGCAGTGATTCACTGGAGCTGGGGTGGAAGGGGCACTCGCGATCTCCGCTACCAGTTCGCACGAACTGATACGAACCGGCTGAATACCACCTCTGTTCTGCAGTGATTCACTTAACAACTAGGGCAAGAAAAGTAGAGCAAAATTCACTTAACCACCGTCTCCACTTTGCAACGGGAATTTTCGGGCTCAATCGTGGTCGTAAGTCGAAGGCTGCCTGCGTTATCTTGGCTTTCCTGGGCTCTGAAGCACCAGTGAGAATTGGAAAGCATGCTAAATTGCTCAGAATTGCATAGCATGCTAAAACGGGGAGGTGAGAAATTGCGATTAGCTGGAAGCATTTCTCCAAAGCTATTTGCTGACTGTGAAGAATTGCCCTTTCTTACACAGAAGAATTTTGGGTTTTTTTTCATTATTTCCCCCCTTTCATTTTATTTTATCACATTTATTGTTTGGGGTGACGCGTTCTGATCTCAAAATCGAAAAATGAGGAAACTGCAGCGTTTTTCTTCCCCAGTAGAGGGCGCAAAGACTCTGATTATCCTACATAGGCTCCATAGAGAGCCATGATGGCGAACCTATGGCAGGCGTGCCACAGGTGCACGCAGCGCCCTCTCTGTGGGCACGTGAGCTGTCGTCCCAGTTCAGCTCTGTTGCACATGCGTGTGCGCGTCTCCCGCCAGCCAGCTGGTCGTCGAGTCTCTGCTGCACATGCGCGGAAGAAGCGGGACAGACAGGGTGCCACACGCGCATGCACAGGGATTGGGGTGCTCATGTGCAGGGGGACGCATGCGGATGCCCCATGCAGGCATGTACGTGGTGGGGCGTATGGAGGGCGCACATGCATGCTCGGGGGGTGTGCGGGGACGCACTCATTGCACTTTGGGGATTCGGGCGCGCGCATGCACGCATTCGCACACGCTTTGGGCACTCGATCCGGAAAAGCCTAGCCATCACTGATATAGAGTGAATGAAAAACAAGGCAAACCTCAGGAGATGAAGTGCCACGTTTGAATTTTTCACAGGTAGTCCTGGACTCACGACCGCAACTGAGCCCAACATGTCGGTCGCTGAGTTGAAACATTTCCGAAGTGAGTTTTGCCCCATTTTACGACCTTTTTTTGCCGCAGTCGTTAAGGGAATCACTGCACTGTTGTTTAGGTTAGTCACACGGTCGCTAAATGAATCTGGCTTCCCCGTTGACTTCGCTTGTCAGAAGGCCTCAGCAGTGACCGTAGGACACTCCCAACCGTCATAAATATGAGTCACTCAGCAAGCGTCTTGAATTTTGATCACGGGACCATGGGGATGCGGCCACAACGTTGTAAGTGTGGAAAACGGTCCTAAGTCACTTTTTTTCGGTGCCGTTGCAACTTTGAACGGTCACTAAATGACCGTTGTAAACCGAGGACTACCTGTTGTACAGTAGATAAAATAAGGCTGATTTTTTTTTCCCCGCTAGGTTTATTACCCTTCATTTTAGTAAATGACTTGTCCTGGAAAGCTACTCAGTATCAGTAACAGAGTTGGAAGGGATCTTAGAGGCCATCTAGTCCAACCCCCTGCTCACGCAGGAGACGTGTACTAGGGATTCGAACTGCCGAACTGCCTTTCTGATCGAGAAGCTCAGTGTCTTAGCCACTGAGCCACCTGGTCAGGACTTCTCATCCAGCTGGAAAACAAATGGAACAGAAATTTGTGCTTTATGGGTGTTCAGCACTTTCAACTTGAAATGGTCACTAAGTGAACCGTTGTAGTCCACTTAGCAAGGTTCGAGTAGCACACACCTTTGCAGGATGGTTTTTCCAGAAGTTTCTTCTAGCCTGGCCAGCATTGAAAATGATGGGTTTTACTTACAAATCACAACTAGAGTGGTGCAGCCTAGATGTGGAGCTCTTGCCTCATAATCGGGAGGCTGTGAGTTCGATCCTAGGTGGGGGCAGTTATTTCTCTCTCTGGGCGCAATGACAATATATCTGCTGAACAAAACTCCGCATTGGCGACAGGAAGGGCATCCGGCCAGTAAACACTCAGCTCCATTCAGTTGCCCAGAATCCACCCCACAAGGGATTACGGGGTCATTAAACGAAGAAGAAGAAGAAGATTAACAAGATCATGCTAAGAATATTGTGCTGTATATGGTACATACTGTATATCTGCTGAACAAAACTCCGCGTTGGTGACAGGAAAGGCATCCGGCCAGTAAACGAGTCATTAAAACAAGATACTGCCTTAGAAATCACAGATTTGTAAGGGGTCGTGTTGCAGAAGCCTCTCGTACAAAGCAAGGAGAGACATCTTTCTATGATTTTTTTCATTTTCATTTTTCATTTTATTTGATTTGTATGCCGCCCTACTCCCGAAGGACTCAGGGCGGTGAACAGCCAACAATAAAATACATATATACAAAATTTAAAAAGCAGAGATAAAATCGAATTAAATAATTTGGCCCAGACAAATTTAAAACCCCAATCAATTTAAAACAAATTTAACTTTGAATATTAAAAATACTAAAAAATTAAAAATTAAAAATGTTTAAAAAGAGAGATGATAAGGATATGATAAGGATAATGGACAAATTATTATATAAGCAACGTAAGGAAACTTCCTATGCGTGTGTCGAATAAGGTGGTTTCGGGGCAATGGTGGCTAACCGGCAATTGTAGTTTGTGGGTGGACTTCCTTACCATCCATCAAGCCTTTTTTCTTTTCTGTTCTCCAGAGATTTGAGAAGAAGTTCAACGCTGAGCAGAGCGCAGGCAACGTCTCCAGAGGGACACAGTTCGAGTACGCTTGGTGCCTGGTCCGCAGCAAATACAACGAGGACATCAAAAAGGGCATTGTCCTTTTGGAAGGTGAGCTTTAGACCAGCTGCAAAGTGGCCCCCTTGATCTTGCCTTACGAAACTCCTTTCTTAAGAATAAATCCCTGTATTTCCTTTCCTCATAATGAATAATGTTGTCTTTCACCTGTTAGGCCTTACGGATGTGGCAGGGGATTGATTGAAAGGGAGAAGGGCAGTTATGGGCAGGGGTGGGATTCAAAAATTTTAGCAACCGGTTCTCCGCCCGGTTGCTGGGTGGGCGTGGCTATGGTGGGCGTGGCCTTCTCAGCCTCTTGCACCACGGCGAGGTGGGGGGGGTTTCACCCTCCCCGGGCTCTGGAGGCTTTCCTTGAGCCTCCGGGAGGGTGAAAACTGCCTCTCCCGGGGGCTCCGGAGGGTGAAAACAGGCCCGTTTCCAGACTTCTGGTAGGCCCGTTTTTTACCCTCCCCAGGCTCTGGAGGTTTTTCTTGAGCCTCTGGGAGGGCGAAAATGGCCTCTCCTGCTCTCCGGAGGTCGTTTCTGGACTTTCGGTACTTCTGGTAGGCCCATTTTTTGCCCTCCCAGAGCCTTCGCATAGGCCCTGCATTTACCTGGCATCCAAAATGGGCTGTGTGGAGACTCCTGGGAGGGGAAGGGCCAGCCAGTCCTTGCAACTACTGGTTCGGGCGAGCGAACCAGATGTAAATTAGCATCCGGTTTGTCCGAACCGGCTGAATCCCACCCCTGGTTATGGGGGAAGAATTTAATCCAGTCTCCATTATAGACATTCTCACTAATATTTGAGGCACATGACGCACTCCACTGCAGTGGTAGGGAGCTTAAGAGCTTTTCCCACTCTCTAACTGAAGCGACCCATGTTAATTTTGGGACTATATACAGGTGAGTTCGATCCTAGTTAGAGGCAGATATTTCTCTCGGCACAATGAGAATATATCTGCTTGAAAAAAAACCTCTGCGCTGGCAACAGGAAGGGCATCTGGCCAGTAAACACTCAGCTCCATTCAGTTGCCCAGACTCCACCCCACAAGGGGTTATGGGGGGTCATTAAAAGAAGAGGATACAGGTGATCCTCAATTTACGAAAGTTTGTTTAGTGACCGTCTGAAGTTACGACGTCACTGAAAAAAGTGGCTTATGACCATTTTTAGCATGAATGACGACCTTACAACGTCTTTCCATGGAGTGAACCAAGTCTTTTAGTTCTGCAGCTGTTATAATGTGAAACCAAGATTGAATGATTGTTTGTTTATTTTGTTTATTTATTTTAGAACTGTTGGGCAAAGGGAACAAAGAAGAACAACGGGACTACGTGTTCTACCTTGCGGTAGCCAATTACCGGCTGAAGGTGAGCTTGTGGATATGCTGCCCCCACTTGTTTCCCTTGCTTGCCACTATTTCTGGATTCGTTTCTAGATCTGGCTGTTTTGAACATCATTAATTGGCTGCCCTTAGACTGAAATCACAGGAGTTTGGGATTACAAACCGGAAGAAATCGCATTCCCTTAAAAAAAAAAAAAAAGAGGAATTCCGATGTTGAGCACTTCGAGGGACATGAGAGAGATGCCCGGCTGGCGAAGAAGCTTTTTTGGATGAGAAGCGAAATGTTTTTCAAAGGAAAAAACAAACACAAGGAAATCTAGTTGCCTTTTGGGGAAAAAAAGCAGCTTTGGAATAGCAGTGGCAACAGCTTTTACTCTTATGTAGTGTTTCACACAGCTCTCTCTAAGCCAGGGTTTCAAACTCAATTTCATTGAGGGCCACATCAGGGCTGTGGTTGACCTCCGGGAGTGGGTGGGTGGTAGGGCGTGGCCGCCTGGATGGGCGTGGCCAACTGGATGGACGTGGCCAGCTTGATGTCATTCCCCAAACTGCTGGCATGTTTCCTCTTCACACTGAGTAGACCGGGCCGAAGCCGCATTGGGTCGACCGGGCCGAAGCCATGTTGGCCTGATGTTTCCTCTTTGCATTGGGTAGACTGGGCCGAAGCCATGTTGGCCCGATGTTTCCTCTTCGCGTTGGGTAGACTGGGCCGAAGCCACGCTGGCCCGATGTTTCCTCTTTGCGTTGGGTAGACTGGGCCGAAGCCACGCTGGCCCAATGTTTTCTCTTTGCGTTGGGTAGACTGGCCGAAGCCACGCTGGCCCAATGTTTTCTCTTTGCGTTGGGTAGACTGGGCCGAAGCCACGCTGGCCCAATGTTTTCTCTTTGCGTTGGGTAGACTGGGCCGAAGCCACGCTGGCCCAATGTTTTCTCTTTGCGTTGGGTAGACTGGGCCGAAGCCACGCTGGCCCGATGTTTCCTCTTCACATTGGGTAGACCGGGCCGAAGCCGCATTGAGTAGACCAGGCCGAAGCAATGCAGGCTGGTCCCTTACATATTCCAGGAAGGCCCCACGGGCCGGATCCGACCACATCACAGGCCGAATCCGGCCCACGGGCCCTGTGTTTGACACCCCTGCTCTAAGCAGTTTACAAAGGTGGCGTATTGCCCCCAACAATCCTCATTTTACCGACCTTTTGAAGGATGCAAAGCTGAGTCAACCCTCGAGCCGGTCAGGATCGAACTCCTGACAGTAGGCAGAGTAGGCAGAGTTAACCTGCAATATTACATTTCTAACCATTGGGCCATCACGGCTCAACGATGCTTGGCTGACCACATCCTTACCTCTCTTTTCAAATCCTCTCTATGACTTGGTCTCCCTCCCGTGTTGGCCGAGGGGGTCATTAGATTGTGGTTAGCTGGCATACAGTTTGTTCTTCGCTTCCCGTCTCTTTTATCCCGGTTAGATTGTCAGAAAACAGATTCTGTAAAATTTATTGGAACCCAATTTTTTTTATTTTATTGATACAAATTAATTGTCTTTGGGGCAACGCTGGTTCCCTTGGGCAAGAAACAGGGATGGGCACGGTGCCTTAGAGTCAGAGAGGATTGGCAGGGAAACCTTTCCCTTTTTAAAATAACAGGTTGTCCTTGACTTAACAACTAGTCCATTTAGTGACCGTTCAAAGTTACAACGGCACGGGGAAAAAAGCGAATTACGACTTTTTTTCCCACAGTTCCAACTTTTGTAATGTCCCCATGATCCTGCGATTAAAACTCAGATGCTCGGCCGCTGCTTCGTGCTTACGACCGTTGCTGTGTCCCGAGGTCATGCAATCCCCTTTTGCGACCTTTTGACAAAGCACAAAATCAATGGGGAAACCAGATTCCCTTAACAGCCGGGTTACTAACCTTAGCCACGGCAGTGATTCACTTAACAACGGTTGGCAAGAAAGCTCGTAAAATGGGGGGCAAAACCCGCTTACCAAACGTCTCGCTTAGCAACAGAAATGTTGGGGGCTCAATTGCGGTCGTAAGTCGAGGCCCACCTGTAACAGGATCTCGAAAGCCGGATGGCGCTTCCATTCCCTTTTTCTTATGCCTGACTAGGTGGCTCAAGTGGCTAAGACACTGAGCTTGTCGATCGGAAAGGCTGGCAGTTTGGCAGTTCGAATCCGTAGTACAGTATGAGCAGGGGGTTGGACTGAATGACCTCTAAAGTCCCTTCCAACTCTACTGTTACTGTTACATCCAAGAGAGTTAAAATAGAGACAGTTTAAGCGTCTTTCTGATATTCTCTTCCTGCCCTGGGATTACATTGTGTTTTGAGAACTGTTGCCAGGTGCTTTCTCCAAGAGTTATTGCTGACATTTTAAACCACCCCAAACGGACTGGTTGATCCAGGCCAGGATAGCATTTAGGCAAATGCCTTCAGGGAAAGGCCAACGTGAGATTTTGAATTAAGTGACTGACCCGGGAACTGTTTGCATTTGGAAAGGTTTCGGTGAGAGAGAAAAAGGAAACGTTTTACAGATGAATAGAGTTGGAAGGGACCTTGTAGATCATCTAGTCCAACCCCCCGCCCAAGCAGGACACCCTACACCTGTGATGGCGAACCTATGGCACGAGTGCCACAGGTGGCACGCGGAGCCATATTAGTGAGCACGCCAGCTCAGCTCTGGGGTGCATGCGCGCGCCGGCCAGCTGATTTTCGGGCCTTCTGGGCCCACCAGAAGTAGGGAAACAGGCTGTTTCCTGCCTCTGGAGGGCCTGTGGAGGTGGGGAAGGCCCGTTTTTTTTCCTTACCTGGCTCCAGATCCTCTCTGTGTATCTGGGAACGGCGAAAACAGCCTTTCCCACTCCCTTGGAGGCCCTACGGAGGCTGAAAGGGCCCATTTCCTCACTCCTGGTGGGACAGGAAGTGACGTTTTTTTCCTGTCCCCAGCCTCCAGAGACTCCTAGAGAGGCTCCTACAGATTCCTAGAGAGGCTCCTACAGACTCCTAGAGAGGTTCTGGAGGCTGGGGACAGCAAAAAATGTCACTTCCTGTCCCACCGGGAGTGGGGAAATGGGCCCTTTCAGCCTCCGTAGGGCCTCCAAGGGAGTGGGAAAGGCTGTTTTCGCTGTTCCCAGATACACAGAGAGGATCTGGAACCAGGTAAGAAAGAAAAACGGGCCTACCAGGCCATCCTGTGCCAGGAGCGGGGGGGAGAGGGGGTTGCGCACACATGCGCGTGGGCACGTGCCCGCGCGCCCCCCCCCGCCCCCCCCCTCCTGGCACGCGATGGCAAAAAGGTTAGCCATCACTGGCCTACAGCATTTCTGACAAACTGCAGTCCGAGCTCTTCTTGAAAGCCTCCAGTGATGAAGCTCCCACAACTTCCAAAGGCAACTTCTGTTCCACGGGTTGATTGTTCTCACTGTCAGAAAATTTCTCCTTATTTCTAGGTTGAATCTCTCCTTGTTTAGTTTCCATCCATTATTCCTTGCCTGACCTTCAAGTGCTTTGGAAAATAGCTTGACCCCTTCCTCTTTGTTGCAGCCCCTCAAATATTGGAAGGATCCTATCATGTCTCCCCTGGTCCTTCTCTTTACAAGACTAGCCTTGCCCAGTTCCTGCAAACCGTTCATCTTATGTTTTAGCCTCCAGTCCCCTCATCATCCTGGTTGCTCTTCTCTGCACTTTCTAGAGTCTCAACATCTTTTTTTTAATAGTGTGGTGACCAAAACTGGATATAGTACTCTAGGTGTGGTCTTACTAAGGCATTACACTAATATTTCCTCTATACTGAGCCTTATTTTGTTTTTTAACCTTAACCACAAAACAGACCTCTAACTAGGAATCTTTAAAACGATTCCACTCCCACCGATACTTTTCTTCCTTCGGCATTTGAAAATAAGTTTTCCCAATCTCCTGGTTTTGTGGAGATCAACAGCACCTGTTGTTTTGTCTGGTCTTCTGGAACTGGGGAAGGTGGTGGGATTGTGAAAGAGGAACTCAGAGGGATGTAACTATCTCCCCAACCTTGGCTGTGTGTGGGGGGTTGACTCTCCCCGTGTCTCCCTGTTCACTTGGCCTTTGCTTTATCTCTTGATGACTAATCTTGGCTTCATAAACTTCATGGAAAGCCGGGGCGTTGGCCATCCTTATCTGTCTTGGCCGATCCTCTTATCTGGGCTTTTTATGGACTGCCACAGTGCCGTGATCATAACTCTTCGATCCTCGGGCGTGTTGTCAAGGCAGCATTGCAGATAAGAAGCAAGTTCGGGTCCAAGGGAGGGAGGGAGGAATCTGTGCAAAGCACAGCTGCGCGTACAGTGCATTCCTAATCGTGTTTGCTCAAGAGGAAATCCCACTTGAGCCAGCGGTAGGATACGCGATGAGGCCTTAAGAGAGCAGGAATGGAAGGGGATGGTTGATGGAAGGAAGTTCAGGCTTGTTTTGAAGCTTCTGTGTGGCGCAAGAGATAAGCTGTCAAGATTGCAAGGGTGAGGTGAATTGAATTGAACCCTGTCCAGTTCAAAAACATTATGGGATGGTCTGGAAGTTGTTGTCTCTCTGTTGAACCTCCCTCCAGTGAGTACGCGATGATCCTCTCAAAAACATCTGGATGCCAGACTTCAACATGTTCGTTGCAATGGTGGGATCCTCCCGGTTTAACAACCGGTTCGGTGATCGCGCGCTTTGCGCGCGTGCACAGTTTGAAGAAATCTTCATTTCCGGGTTTCTTCGGAGGAGTAACAGCTGATTCGCATGGCAGTCGGCTCTGCCACGCGAATCAGCTGAGGAGATAAAGGTAGGAAAATAGCACAGGTGGGCGGGTGGGCCCATCTGATCATCGGGGCGAACCGGTTCGCTCCCAGCTGATTGCCGGAGATACCAGTTCCCCTGAACCGGTCCGAACCGGTAGAATCCCACCACTGGTTTGTTGTCTAAAGCAGAAAAGAAGAATGGAAAAGCACAATCTCTCCCTCATATATTGGAGTTATTGCTCCCAACGTTCCGCAGCTGTTAACATCTGGAGA